CTCAGCACTATACTTCTGTGAATTTGTATTTTTTCTAAATTCTCCAAAGTGAACTGGCTGTTCTTTCCTTCCATCTTGTTGCATAGTAGGGCCTCTATTCATCTGGTTTTGTGTACATGTCTTATACTGTGGATGTAAACAGTCATTAAAAACTGTTGGTTTTTCAGCTGCTCCTTCTTTCGTAGCACTGAATTTTTTATTACCTTTTTCATCAAAGATAGTTTTGGTGGTATCTTTAAAATGTCTGAAAGTGGACTTAACTGAATCTGAGAACTTTTTCAGATTTTCCTTTACAGCTTCTTTAGCCTGTTTAATTTTTTCTTTATGATGTCTCACAAACTCCTTGGTAGAATTCTTCATGGCATCAAATGTTTCCTTAACTGAGCCCAAAAATGTTTCCTTTGACTTATTTTTAGCTCTGTGGTTTCCTCTGCCCCCTTTCTTTTTTCCATCAGCTTCTTGTTTTCCATTTTGATCTTTTGCCTCAACATACAGTCTTTCCCACAAATCAGAACGCTGCTGTTCAAAGTTTAGCTTCCGCTCCAGCTCAGTGAGTCTTTCCCTTAGAACTGCTATTTCCTTTTTATCAGTCAATACATTGGGAGAATCTGAGTTGCCATTTGACTGACTGGCACTTAACTGCTGGAGTTCCACCCTTAGAGCCATAGTTACTAGTCGTTCTCTCTCCAGTTCCTTCTTTAACATCTTTGCTTCTGCCAGTAGGGTTTCTCTTTGATTGAGGAAGCTGTGAGTTTTCTGCTTTTCCTCTTCCAAATGCTGCTTAAGTTGCTGATTTTCTGTAATTAATTCTGTACTCGTTCCTTTATCTTCCAATACTCTAATCTGTTCTCTAAGTTTTCTTAACTCATCCTGCAATGAACACAAGGCTTTCTCTTCCTTCTCCAGTGATACTCTCAAATTCTGGTTTTCTGTAGCAAGGTTATTTTTCTGAGTTTCAAAAGCTATCTTCTCTGCTTCGGTATGGGTCCAGCATCTCACAAGGTTTTCTTTCAATGACTACATTTTTTAAAAGAGAAGAAAAAGGTCAAATATTTTAAAAGCTGAACTTAAATCTGTAAGAAATTAACAGGCTATGAGCTTTACTGTCTTTATTTCTAAAGATACTGTCCCATGAATTACACTTTTTTTCTTTTAAAAAAATTTTGGGCGAGGTTTTTGGTGTAGGGCAAGTGTGCTCGCCAGAGAAACAGAGAGAGACAGAAAGACAGAAGATGAGAAATCACCCCAAGGAGTTGGCCACATGGAAATCCCTTCCTCCATTCTCCTCCTGGGACTTTAGGGATGCGTGCACACTAGCCCGGCCTGAGTTTAAAGCCACCAGGTCTGGGACTCGAACTGCAGTCAACTACATGGGAGTCCAGTTATGTAACCATTACGCAATCTGCTGGTCCCCAATGAAAGTATTATTTTTTTTTGAGAGAGAGATATTTTTTTTGCTATAGGGTGCGTGCGCTCGCCAGACAGACAGAGAGAGACAGAGAGACAGAAAGCGAGAAATCACCCCCCAGGGGGGATGGTCACACTGCAATCCCTTCTCCTCCAATCTCCTCTCGGGATCTTGGGCACACACACACACGCCCAGCGTGAGTTTTAAGCCACTGGGCCTGGGACAGGAACCGCAGTCGACTACATGGGAGTCCAGCGACATAGCCATTATCCTAACTGCTGGTTCCCCCAATGGGTAGTATTTTTCAAGGTACAAAAACTAAAGTATACAATCATTTGCAAGAAAATGCATATCAGAGAGCTACATCAAATTAAGAATAATATGATGGAAGAGTTTTGTTTGTTTGTTTGTTTTTGGAGAGGTTTTTGCTATAGAGTGCATGCGCTCGCCAGAAAGAGAGAAAGCGAGAAGTCACCCCCGAGGGGGGATGGCCACGCCCGCAATCCCTTCTCCTCCATTCTCCTCTCAAGATCTTGGGCACGCACACACACGCACCCAGCGTGAGTTTAAGCAACCAGGTCCGGAACTCGAACCACGGTCAACTACGGAGTTCAGCGACATAGCCATTATGCAAACTGCTGGACCCTATGATGGAAGAATTTTTTAAAGTTACCTAGAGCTTGGTATATTCCTAATAGGATTTTCCAGACAGACATAAAGGAATTTCTGATTAGTGTTTCCTAAAATCACATGAAGTTGTTACTGACTTCTGGGCACATTTATAAGATAGGAGAAACGGGGATAGCTCTATCACCACATCCCTATCACAGCTCTCCAACCCTTCTTAGCCTCTAAGAACATGATTGTACTCTCTAGTTCCATGAAGCCAATTGCTTTAGTTTCCACACATGTAAACACATAATTTTTCTCTTCCTATGCCCAGCTTATTGCACTTAGTCCAGGACTTTGACTACACAGTAGGCCACATGGGATCCAGTCACTTTAAACACCATGCCACTGTCTGGTCCACCTTTCGTTTTTTTTTTTCTTTTTAATAGTTGAAGAGAATTCCACTGTATTTGTGTGTTTAAGTCTATACAGATGAATGTAATCCTAGAGATCAATCTACAGCACTGGAGATTAAAAGAAACCATGTGCATTCAACATTAGAGATAAATAAGAGTATATCCTTTATTTGATTATTATATACTGTATAAAAACCCTACTCGGGACCAGCAGGTGGTGTAATGGTTAGGTTGCTGGTCATGTAGTCAATTACGGTTCAAGTACCAGACGTAGTGGCTTGAAACTCACTCTGGGTGCGTGTGCATGGATATCCAAAATCCTAAGAGGACAATAGAGGAGAAGGAACTACAGCATGGCCATACAACTGAAGGGTGGGATGGCAGGGTGGGGGGGTGGATTTCTCGCTTTCTATCCCTCTGGACAGCACACATGCCCTAGAGCAAAAGAGAGACTAGCAGTTAGTGTAATGGCTATGTTGCTGGACTCCCATGTAGTTGACCACGGTTCACATCCCAGACCCCGTGGCTTAAAACTCATGCCGGGTGCATGTGCATACTTGCCCAGGATCCCAAGAGGAGAATGGAGAGGGGATTGCGGTGTGGCCTTCCCCCCTGGGGGGTGATTTCTCGCTTTCTGTCTCTCTCTGTCTGGTGAGCGCATGCGCCCTATGGCAAAAACCTCTCCAAAAAAAAAAAAAAGACATACACAAACAAAACTCTAAAAACCACAGTTCTTTTCTTTCCCTCCTGATTAAAATTGTTTTACTTAGCTCTATGAAAAAATATTGGGTCGTTGGGTAAGTCATGACACATTTATTTTCTGGAGAAATTTTTGCTATAGCATGTGCTCACTGGACAGAGAGAGAGACAGAGAGACAAATGAGAGAAATCACCCCCTAGGGGGATGGCCGTGCTGCAATCCTTTCTCCATTCTCTTCTTGGGACTTTGGGCATGCATGCACATATACCTGGTGGGAGTTTTAAGGAGTTGGGTCTGGGACTTGAACCACAATTGAATACATTGGGAAACCAGCAATGTAACCACTACACTATCTGCTCATCCCAGTCATAACGCATTTTTTGTATAGAAAAATGGTATGACTTTCCCAATGACCTAATGGTTAACACAAAAACATATGCACATGAAGGTATTCCAAAAAATACACAGAAAACTTTGAATCAAAGTACAAGTTTACAGTTGGCCCTTTAGTGCAGTGGTTAATGCTGTGCATAGAAAGCCACATCCCACAAGACTGACTACAGGTTCGAATTCTAACCCCTCACAGTTTGTGTTTTAACATACCAGGATCATGTAGGTATGTGCGCTAAAATCCTGATGAGATAGACAAATGGGAAAAAAATAATTGCAGCATGACCACACCCCAGTAGAGGCAAGTGCATATGAGAGTTCTAAATCTCTCACCGACATGTGCCCTCTGGGAATAAAATTTATTTTTAAAAATACAAGTTTATTTTAGTGCCAAAAAATTTGAATTCAGGGACCCAGGGCTGGCCCCATGGACTGCAAGTTAAGGAAGCTGGATCACACATGGCCGACTGCGTTGTTCAAGTCCCAGCCTCAGCAGCTTGAAAAACACAACAGACAGGTATATGTGTCAAAATTTCTGACAGGGTGGAGAAATGGAGGAAAATGGAATGTGGCTAGGCTCCACTGAAGAGTACTTCCTCCTCCTCCTCTCTGTCTCTCTCTGGTAGCACACATGTCCCCGAAAGATAAAATTTTAATTATCAACTACATGGGAGAGCAGCAACATAGCCATTACACGCTAACTTCTGATCCCGAATTAGGTTTTTAAAAATAATATTCATACTCACCTTATAATCTGGGAAAGACTCTTGTTCCTGTTGACATTGAGAAAGATAATCCTTCATGTCATTCAGTTCATCTTCATGTATCTTTCTGACTAACTGTTGACGCTTCTGAATCTGAACTGTGCCTGAAATAAAAATTTTCATTAGAAGCATATATAGATTGTAATTACCAATATTTAAAAATATATACAATGTTTAAATTGGATATCATGTAACTACTTAATCCAAATGGGATAATTTTCTTCAAAGAATCAGCATTTCGAAGTTCTTTAAGAATTCTCATCATAGGGCCAGCTAATGGTATGGAAATTAAGGTGGCAGAATCTCATATGGTTGGCAGAGCAGTTCGAGTCCTGGACCCACCAGAAGCCTGAAGCATGTGCGTGTGTGTGCGTGTTTGTATGAAATCAAAATCTCAAGTGGCGAAAGAAGGACAAGAGATGGTAGTGTGGCCAAACCCCCTAGGAGGTGATTTCTTACTTTCTCTTTCTCTAACACACATGCCCTATAGCAAAAACTACAAGCAACTCATTCTGTAAGTAAGGAAAAAATAAGTAAAATCTCATGATGTCATTCATTAAATAGTAGAAAGCATTAATCAAAGTATAAATCAGGTCAAGGAGGTTAATGTACTTTTTAAGATTAATTTAATATACACCCCAAAACACGTAAGGAACTCACTATGCTTTTAATTGAAACAAACGAACCAGCCCACATTACTCTAACAAATCAATTAATGTAATGTTCTTATCTTACTTGTTGAAAAGGACTCAGGTTTGTTTTCTGAAGGGATATACTTGAAGTACAAAAAGGTTTTCTACCCTCCTTTCCAGAGAAATGAATAAACTACGGTGTCTCTTCATAGGTTTTAAGGCAATAAGAAGAAAATGAACTTTAGTATTTTTCGTTAAAGCTACAACACAAATCCTTAAAGTACACCATGATAAAAACTCGTGGAGCAGGCAGGTGGCATGGTGGTTAAAGGCACTGGACTCCCATATGGCCAACTGTAGTTTTAAGTCCTGGACCTGGTAGCTCGCTTTCTCACTTTTCCTCTCTCTCCTTCTGTCTCTCTGTGAGAGACTGGAAAATATTAAATAAAATTAAATAATCCTTTAAAGAAAAAAAAAACTAGCTAACTGTGACTACCCATTTTGAAAGCCAAAACTTTTAAGAATTCTGCAGTGTTTTGAACTGTACTGGCATACCACTGTCCTTATCCCAGCACTGACGAAGGAATATTAAATCAAGTAGAACTCTGTATTTTCACTTGAAAATTCAAAATGTTACTCTGCAAAGACATGCTGTTTACATGCTGCTACATGCTTCATGCATGAGAACAAAATACACTCTAAATCAAAAAGAAGGCAAATTGAATTTAGCAACCTTAGTATTAACTTTACTGAGCTAGCATATCATTATATACAGACATCACAGAATTTTACAATAAAATGATTTAATGATGGAATACTATTTCTCCCCTCACTACTAGAAAAACCATTTTTAAATCTCTTCGAGTCACTGAGACCAGTAGATGACATAATGTTTATGTCTCTGGATGCCCATGTAGTCGATTGTGGTTCAAATCCCGTACTTGGCAGCTTAAAATTCAAACAGGGTGCATGTGCGTATGTGCCCAAAAATCCCAAGAGGAGACTGGAGGAAAAGGAATTGTGGTATGGTCATCCCCCTGGGGGGTGATTTCTCACTTTCTGTCTCTGTCTCTATCTAGTGAGCACACATGCCCTATAGCAAAAAAATTTCTCTAAAAAATAAAAATTTTTCCCAACACATCTTGGAAAACAATAAAAAGACCTTTCACCAACTTACAGACAATTGTTTCCTATTCTAAACACCAGTTAACATGTATAATATTCTGTATTAAGATGCATTTCTTCTCTTTAAATTTTCAGGTTTACAAAACCATGGCAAACTTGTTAGGAAATTATTCAAAAGAATGTTGGAGTTTTAAAGTGCTCACAGAAATGTATCAACAGTTTTAAGAGTAAGGAAAACCTCTAAGAAAGATAAGTATTTCATACATGAAGGTTTTTTTAAAAACATGCAATTGGTGAGGATTTAATGCAATGTGGATTAACATTAAAAGTCACTTTTTTAGTAAAAAAAAAAAAAAAAGATTAAGATAAGACCTTTTCCTTTGTTACCTTCATGTTTACCTGTGGAAGAAAAAAATCATACTCAAAAAACAATGATGTATTTGCTCCTGCTACTAGTCAGTAATGTTAAATATATATTTCAAATCAAATTTCATTACAACAAACTTCTATCAGGAATTCACATATTATTATTAACATAAAAAATACAAGAAAAAACACAGGTTACTGACTCACTTTAAAGTATTGATTCCCTTTATTAAGATACATTAATTACACTATGTTGAATGATCTATGTTTTCCACAAATAAACAAAATATATGCCAATTCTCCAATCTCAGCATACAGAACACATTGTTGGAAAGAACTGGCAAACCAAAGTTAAACTGTGGATTATGGAGGCCAAAAAAATCTTAAAATAAGGCAAACTAAGATTTTTGAGGTTGACAAAATCTTAGGCATTTTAAGTATTTGTTCTGCCTTCCTCCCCACCCCTCCAAATTCTAACACAAGAGAGTATAAATGTTCAATTCTCAAATACTCCTAGTCTTTGTACAACTATATACCTTAAATAAGAAATTCAGCAGTGAGGTTCCTAAAAGAAAAATAACACCACCTGGAATTCTTTTCTCTTCTTACCCCAGAAACATTTAAAGCCTTTCAATTCATAAAGTAAACAACATGCATTTAAAAATAAGCATAAAAAATATATACATAAGGCTAAAGACAAAAAATTCACAATTTGGGGAACCAGCAGTTAGCGTAACGGCTATGTCGCTGGACACCCACAAAGTTGACCGCAGTTCGTGTCCCAGACCTGGTGGCTTAAAACACGCTGGGCGCGCGTGTGTGTGTGCCCAAGATCCCGAGAGGAGAATGAAGAAGGGACTGTGGTGTGGCCATCCCCCCTGGGGGGTGATTTCTCGCTTTCTGTCTCTCTGTCTCTGTCTGGAAAGCACACGTGTGTGGAGCACCCCTGCCCATCACCCTCAGCGCCTATTTCAAAATGGCGCTCAACGGAAGCCCACTGAGCGCTCAAAGCAGTAAACAACTTTAAGGAAGTAGGGCAGTGGGGAGCGTGGAGAGCACGGGAACACCGCATGCAAGTGCATGTGCGTGTGTACCTAAAATCTCAGGAGGAGAAGGGACGAGAAGGGATTGTGGCATGGCCATCTATTTGGGAAGTGTCTTCTCACTTTCACTTTCTCTATCTGTTTCTCTCTCTCTCTCTCTCTCTCTCTCAATCTCTCTCCCCAGCAAGTGCAAATCCCTATGGCAAAAACCTAAAACAAAAAAAAAAAAAAAAAAAAACACTCTTTAAAAAAAAAAATCACAATTTGGGACCAGCAGATGGTGTAATAGCTACATAGCTAGACTCCAATGTAGTCGACTATGGTTCAAGTCTCAGACCCGGCAGCTTAAAACTCATTCTGAGCGTGTCTGCATGTGTGCCCAAAGTCCCAAGAGGAGAATGGAGAAGGGATTGCAATGTGGCCATCCCCCTTGGTAGGACAATCTCTTGCTTTCTATCTCTCCAGCGAGCACATGCACCCTATAGCAAAAATCTCTCCTTAGGAAAAAAAAAAAAAAACAAACATAATTCATGTGAATTACAAAAACAAGCACAAATATTGGGAACCAGCAGTTAGCGTAATGGCTATGTCGCTGGACTCCCACGTAGTCGACTGCGGTTTGTGTCCCGGACCCGGTGGCTTAAAACTCACGCCTGGCGCGTGTGCGTGCATGCCCAAGATCCCGAGAGGAGAATGGAGGAGAAGGGATTGCGGTGTGACCATCCCCCCTGGGGGGTGATTTCTCGCTTTCTATCTCTAATGTCTCTCTCTGTCTGTCTGGCGAGCGCACGCGCCCTATAGCGAAAAACCTCTCAAAAAAAAAAAAAAACACAAATATTAAAAATGATACTTATGTTAAGTATCAAAAAGTGTCAAAGTAAAAAATAACTAGTATTATTGTGTTATTTCAACTGTTAAACAGGAAACAAATAGGGACCAGTGGATGATGTGTTGATTGTATCACTGGATTCCCACGTAGTTGACCATGGTTCAAGTCCTGGACTCAGCAGCTAAAAACTCACACTAGGCACATGCTTATGCATGTTCAAAATGCCAAATAGAGAATGGAGAAGAAGGGACTGATTGCACTATGGCCACTCCCCCTAGGGGGTTATTTCTCACTTTCTGTCTCTGCCTGTGGAGCACAAGGGCCCTATAGCAAAAATCTTAAAAAAAAAAAAAAAAAAAAAAAAGAGAGAGAGAAAATTAGAAATAACTAAAATTACTGTGATACTTCAAATGTAACTATTTCAAGTGAGATTTAAATAACCTTTACAATTAAATTATGATTCTAAATTAAAATAATTTGCCTCATGGTGTTTCAGTTTTTAATCTTATCTTTTAACTTTAATCTTTGAATTTCTTTAAAAAGCAACTACTTCCCTGTTTACGTGAAAATGGTTTTAAGACAGACAGCATCAATTTTTCAAATGAGAAAATTGAGGCTCAAACAGGTTGTGAGTTGCTAAGGTTACAGATTTAATAACAGTACTGAAAACAGAAGCCAAGACTCCTTACTCTTAAAAGGTACCTCTATGCTACTCCCACCAGTTTATGTCCAACACATCCTAAAATACTTACCATAGAAATGTCCAAATCCCATGCTGATTGCAATCACCAAAGCAAGTATAACACACTTATTGAGACCACTACTGAATTGGCGTTTACTCAACTCCTTAGAAGGTTCAGTTTCTTGTTCAGGAAGTACCCGTTCTTCAGATTCTGAAGCAGAAACAGTCTTTTTCCTAGCACGGCGTCGTCTAAAGGCAGGACTGGGCTGATTACTGGTTTCATCACTACTTGATTCATCATCACTAGGCTGAGATGAAAATACTATTTTAAAGAGAAAAATGTTGATATTTAGATATTCAACTTATTCAAAAAGCTTTCACAGTAAACATGACTTAGAATATTCAATGCCATCCCCACATGCCTTTTTATGAGACAGCCAAAAACAAAAACACGAGAATGCCAAGTCAACTTATCAACATAAAATAAAAACTTGAAAGATTTTAACTTTGATACAGAAGAATGTCTTAATCATATTATTCATTCTGTGCTTTGAAAGTTTATCTCTTGTGTTTTCTTAAAACTCTGCTTGTAATTTATGCTATTGGAATAATCATTCATTGTCACAGCTTACTAAATTTCATCACTGTTAGAGGCACCAATAAGTACTATTTCTGGAACAAAAAAAAAATGCTCTATCTTTTCATTCAACTTCAAATAAAAGTAAGTTAAACTCAATTGTTCGAGAAACACAGGAAAACACGCAAGCAGTTAGTTCCTGTGGCTTAAAAAGTACACTAACTACCAAATTTCTGTGGGTCTATCTGGTCCCTAGTTTCATCCCCATCCTATTAGCCCACAACCAAGGTTCAAAGCACTACAATTTAACATGAGTTTCCAGAAGTCAGATGAGTCCTTCCCTTCGACTGCCACTCTTACTAGAAGGTTATTAATTTTACCCTCTAGTAAATATGTCAGCATGAGGAAGTGACACAAAAGCTATCTCCAAAATTACGGACTACTCTGGTGCTGCTCCTTTATGAAAAGAATAGTAAAGAACAACAAACAAGAACCAAAAAATGCACAAAAAAGCTCAAAACTCCAGGCAACATATCCTCTGGAAAAACCACCTTCACTTTTTCCCAAATGCATAATTTTAACACTGTTCCATATTTTGACTGTAAATTGAAGAAGATTATGTCATTCAGTATTAAATTCCACAGAATAAAAGGAAAGCACTTAAGGTAAGGATTACATGTGAACTTCAATAACTCTAAAACAAACATTCATGCTTCTAAAAAGCAAAACAGTTCTTCAGGAGACAGGATATCCATAACTTGTACTTTTTTAAAAAGTACAGGGATCATGGAGAATTTAGTTTACTTTCAACACTTAAAATAACAAACACAAAGACAGAAGACACTACTGAATGAATGAATATTCCTAGTATTTAGTGATAGAGATCCCACTGTGAGAGATCTTTTGGCCATGACCCTTATGCCCATGATTATCTGGTAATTCTTGACCACTAGTTTTTCCAAGATGTTGTCGCCTTAAGGAGTGAGGTTACATTCCATGGACAAAGAAAAAGAAATAAAGACTTGAAACAAATCATTTCATAATACAAAGGCATTCAGATCATGGTTTGACTATTTCAGTTAGACTTTATGACACAGTATTAAGATACACAAATATAAAAAGCAAACCACCTGTCAAAATTCTTTAAATAAACTTTCAATTGTACTAAAAGACAGCCCTTGTTATATATTCTAACAAAAAAGCCTAACATATTCATGTCTTTATCTAATGCTTCCATCTTTTTAACCTATACATGTAATAGCTGATTTTTTTTTTATTTTTAAACTTTTCAGAGCTTTGTTCGGTCCATAGTCTAAGATGCAAGCAGTGCAAAGGCATGCAATGAGCTTAGCCAGCTTTTTTTACAAGATCAATTTTGAACACCTGTTTACAGTATCACAGAGAACAACAGGTTTCTTTAAAGCATCTAGTAAAGAGTAAATGTGACTAGGCACACTCAGCTTATGAGAAGCTGATCAGAGTTAGTCACACCACCTTGGAAAGCGAGTTGGCTAGGAACATGGTGTTTCAGCTGATCATCCCATCCCCTTATGCATTCAGGAATCTTCCACAGCTTCTCCCACCACCTTTCTTTTGTGAATAAACAGGAAAAAAAGATGTATAAAGCTTTATTATAAAGAATAAAGAGGAAAAAGAACGGAAAATATTTTAATTATGATAACATTCTGTGCTAAATTGAAATGTAATAATCACGCCTTTTCTTAACATATATACAATTCAAACTTCCTTGCAACTACCAACTTTTCTTTTTGGGAGAAAGGTCATATGGCGGAAGTGGTATTCTTAAATCAGTATCGCCACCAGAGCCTAATTTGGCAACAGAAAAAAACTGAAGCTGAAATCCTATAAAGATGAAGAAGGGACAGGAAAAAACTAAATGATAAGTATAACATAAAAGTATCAAAACAAGAAAAATTGAGGGAAAGAGAACAGAAATTCGTGGCAACTGATTTATATATAGTATTTTCAGCATAGTCCAACATTTTTGTTAGAATTTTTATTTATTAGAACAATTCATTCCATTAGGAGGAATAATAAAGGATAAAAATACACAATCAAATAGTTGTCTTAACTGAGTCTTCAAAATCCCTAAGAAGTTTAAGTTCAAAAAGGTGATAAACCTTAAAATAATGGGAATAAGTATACAGGTTCCTGAAAAATATTAACAATCTGTAGCTTCTTTTATGCCTTATACATTTTGTTCTTATGTGTCTGCCTTGATCTTTCTGCAATATTCCCGCTTCAGTTGACTTTTCTTGGTCATGAATATTTTCAAATTAAACCAGAGGGAAGAAGGGAAGGGAGAAAGGAGGAGGAAAAAAAGACGATTTAAATGCAGTACTAATTCTGAATTTAAAAATTAGTAAAATTTTAAGACCAACAGGATTCTTTTTTTTTTTTTAAGACCAACAGGATTCTAACATCAATTATATTGGGGCCAGCAGGTGGCATGGTAGTTAAAGCCCTGGACTCCCACATAGCAAACTGCATTTCAAATCCTGGACCCAGAGTGAGAATCACTCCAGGTACGTTTGTGTGTGCCCAAATCCCAGGGGAGGAGACTGTAGTGTGGCCATCCCCACAGAGGGTGATTTCTCACGTTTCCTCTCAGAGTCTCCCTCTGAGTATCTCTTGCAAGCACACACTATGGCAAAAACATTTAAGAAAGAAAACTGATTATATTAAGCTCTCTTAATACTACGTATGCTACTTTAACAAAGGCTGAATTTGAACTCTGACCACTAAGAATGCCAGGTCAGATGGGTATTCAAATAGTTGAACAGAGTATTTTCGAGCTTTTATTTAATAGACAAAATTGCTGATATAACTGAAAGTAATTCATCAATAAATGAGATAGCCAAGTATCAAAATTTTATGAAAGGACTTCAAAAAGTTGGTAGAAAAATTAAATTACAGTATGAGTTTTTTTTGGTCAGAAACATTTTAAATCACTGAGTGTTTTTCATAATGGGCATTTTCCATGATACATGCAAAAACTCTCAGCTTAAAATGGAATGACAGAAATCACAAGGTCTGTTGCTGGTTGCCAAATGTAAATTAAAGAATGGCAAAAATCTATGAAAATTACCTAATGTAGATACGCTCTGTTGCTGTTTTATCTATCACATTTGGACATTTTTAGAATCACTAGCAGTTTTCCAAGCTGTCTCTCCCATAATCTGTTCTTAAGTTATTATCACGGGTTAAATAACTAGGTTAACTATAGGCACATGTTTTATGGTATTTTTTAACTTTATGTCCTCATATTGAAAGATACTATTTACATTCCTAAAATTGAACTGAAAAACTTTGGAAAGAAAAACTCATACTTGGGACCAGCAGTTGGCTTAATGGCTATATCACTGGACTCCCACATAATCAACCACAGTTTGAGACCGGGACCCGGTGGCTTAAACTCATGCCAGGCGTGTGTGCATGTGTGCCCAAGATTCCAAGAGGAGAATGGAGAAGGTATTGCAGCATGGCCAGCCCCCGAGGGGGTGATTTCTCATTTTCTGTCTTGCTGTCTCTTCAGTGAGTGCACAAGCCCTATAGCAAAAATCTCCCTCTTAAAAAAAAAGTGTGTATATATATATATATTTATTTTATCATGCTATCCAAAGATTGCTGTGCTCTAGGTCACAGTCTTGGAAAACATAAGTTACCACTGTACATTTTTAAATGTCTTGACTTTTAAAGTTCTTACCAGTTTCTGGCTGACAAAATGCATATTGGCTGCTAGAAGAAGAGCCCATGTTAAAGTCGTCTGAACTCAGTGCTTCTTTAACAATGACTTCTTGATTTCCTATTTCTTCTAACTTAGGTGGCTCAAGGGTAACGATGTCAGAATCATCACTGGCAGTTCCAAAACCGACACTATCTTCAGGTATCTTTTCTTCCTCTTCCTGAAGAATCATAAATTTAGTTATTAAATTCGACAATTATTTAAGGACCTTACATTTTTTACACAGTTCAAAGTCTATAATAGTACTAAGTACTACTGTAATTTGAAGTTAAAAATAAATGATGATTCCTACCCGGTAGTAAAAAATTATGGAACACCAGTCTCATCTTTTAGTCTGAAAACCAGTCAAACCCCTTGGTGACTTTCAGAATTAGACTAGACCACTGCCTTCTCCTTGTAAGCTGTAAAACCTAGAAGCCCACCTTTGCTACTCAACAACCACACAAAAGGAAGAATCCATATTTCTCCCCAGTTCAAAAAGTAGTCATAAATGTGGGTTTATTTATGCATAACTCTATAGTCAGAAAGCCCTTAAAAGAATGACTAAGCTTTTCTGGTTATATATAAAAACTGAACTTCAAGAGATATACGCCATGTACTACTATATGAATATATCACTCAAACTTACAACCAGGCATGCACGAGTGCATGCATGCCCATAATTCTAAGAGAATAAAGCAAAAGGGATTGCAGCATAGTCATTTGCCAACCCATTTCTTCTCTCCCTCTCTCTGGGAGCATACATGCTCTATAGCAACATTTTTTAAAAAAAGAAAAAAAAAAAAAAAAAGCAGAAGCAGGGGTGTTGGGTGAGACAGGCAACAGTATGGTGGTGAGTGCAGCTGGATCCCACATGGCAGACTGTGTGGATTGAATCTTGAACCCAGGGGTCTGAAAAACACATGTATACATGCCCAAAATCTCAAGTGGAGAATACGGTAAAAGGAAATGTGGCATGGCCATCCTCCAAGGGGCTGCTTTCTTATTTTCTCTACCACACCACCCCAGTGATGTAGCCCTACAGCAAATGAAATAAACAAACAACAAGAAAAAAAAAACACAGAGAGGGGGAGGTGGAGCCTTTGGGGAGTGGATTAGGTCAAGAGGGCTCCTCCTTGTCAATGGAATTAAAACTGAATTCCCAAAACACTGGGCCCTTTTTCATGACCTTCTGTCCCTTACATCAGGTAAGAACACAGCATTATCCCCTCTTCAAGATGGAACAGCAAGGTGCCATCTTAGAAGAGAGAGAGACCCTTCTTTTTTATTTATTTATTTATTTATATTTATTCATTCATTTATTTTAATTTGACCAGATTAAGACAGAGAGAGAGGGAAAGTGAGAAAGCAAATCACCAAGTCCAGGACTTGAACCACAGTCAGCCATGTGGGAACGTCCACTGCCTTAACCACCACGCCACCTGCTGACCGCAAAAAGACCTCCTTACACACACACTAAACTCTCTGGTGCCTTGATCTTGGACATCCTAGCTTCCAGAACTTTGAGAAATAAGTTTCAGTATTTTATAAATCACACAGGCTCAGGTAGTTTGTTATAGCAACTCAAATGAACAAGACACAATGTAAAGACCATTTAGTTATCCTATTTTATCTGGAAATCAGGTAGTAAAACTCCAAAGAACAAGATTTAGTTTGTTATCAAATTTTAAAATTAACCTTAATTTTAGACATGAACCCTAATTAATTTCACAATATACTTCAAAAATACAACCTATGTCCAAGGAAAATTAATTTAGGGGTAAAAGAATATGTCTTTAACGCAATACCAATAAACTACTTTTCTAAATTAAGACACCGTATATAATCAGGTCAAAATGGAAGCTAATTTTACCATTAAAGTGACCAATATACATGATCTCAAAATTTCCAATAAAAATTACTTTTAATTCAAAAAGATAGAATGCATACTAAGCATTAGTATAATAATTAGTACTTTAAGATGCTATTTATCATACATTCACACAGAAAAGCACAAGTTTACCTCAGTGGCTGACTTGGTTTCTTCCAAAGTTGCATAAGCAGTTTCTCCCATTAACTCTGTGTCATTCTGACTGCTTTCTAATGTAAAGCAAAGATCAGTACAATTATTTCTTCACTTAAAACACTCAAGACTTTGCAGCCTACATATAATCTGGGTAGATAAAATCTACTTGGGACCAGCAGATGGCATTATGGTTCCATTGCTGAACTCCCACACAGTAGTCCAGACCCGGTAGCTTAAAGAATTTGTGCCGTGTGTGTGTGTGTGTGTGTGTGTGTGTGTGTGTGAGAGAGAGAGAGAGAGAGAGAGTGTGTGAGTGTGAGTGAGTGAGTGCCCAAGAAAAGGGATCATGGGCATGGCCATCCCCTGGGGGAAGGGGACTGATTTCTCATTCTCTCTCTGGTGAGCACATGTGCAAAACTCTCCCTTAAAAAATAAGTTAAGTCAAAATTCCAATCTAATAGATTTCAGTTCCTAGCAACATAAGAATCAAAACTACAGCTTCAAATTATAAATGCTTTATAATTTAAAAAAATAAAAACTATTCCAAACAGACTCAAAACACAGGGGAAAAAATGTCACTATAGAAGTATATGTCCTAAGAATCTCCTCTAAGAAAACATGTACAATGAGAATATTGAGTTCACAATATATTTTTAGTGGAAGATTATAAAATGTTAACAGAAGTTAAAAGTAATATTAAACATAATAAACAATATGCCAGCACTGTAGCACAGTAATTAAAAGCAGTACGTCCAAATCTGGATTCCAGGGGCCAACTAGGAGACCTAGTGATTAAGGTAGCTAAATTCTATGTATTTATTTTTTTGGAGAGGTTTTTGCTACAGGGTGTGTGTGCTAGCCCTAAAGACAGAGAGACAGAAAGCGAAAATCACCCCCCCCGGGGGGGGGG